TTCTTCTTCTTCTTCTTCTTCTTTCTCTCTCTCTCTCTCTCTCTCTCTCTCTCTCTCTGTCTCTCTCTCTCCTGTCTGGCTCCCGGCCTTTGTGCTCCGCAATAAAGATATCCTGTCGGACCTCTCAGTGCATGAGTGACCTGATTGGGAAGGGGACACCCGAAGGGGACACGTGAGACCCCTTTCACCCACCAAAAATGTAGAGGGTTCCTTTTGACCCACAGCTTCATCAGCATTGGTTATTATTTGATTTCTTGAGTTTTTGTTTGTTTATTTTTGTACTAGGGATCGAACTCAGGACCTTGCTCTTGCCAGGCAGGTGCGGTGCCACTGAACTAAATCCTCAGCCCTTTTTTCCTGAGACAGGGTCTCTCTCTGTAATTCAGGCTGGCCTTGAACTCACTATGGAGCCCAGGCTGGTCTTGAACTCGTGGTGATCCTTCTGCCTCAGCCTTCAGAGTGCTGGGATTGTAGGTGTGCAGCACCACACCGGCCTTGATTTCTTTCTTTCTTTCTTTTTTTTTTTTTTTTTTTTTTTTTATTTTTTTTAATCCAACTCAGGATCTTGTGCTAGCAAGACAGGTGGCAGCACCGCTGAGCTAAATCCCTGCCCCCCACAGCCTTGATTTCTTTTTTTTTTTAAATTGAGTTTTTGGTACAATCTAGGTATACAATACAGTTACATTCATCATTGGGATTCTGTACCTTTACATAATAGGTCTTGATTCTCATTTTTTCCCCTTGTCCCTGCCCTCCCTTCACCCACTCCTCCCCTCCCCATTTACAAACACTTTATTTCCATTTTTTCAGTTTCTCACATTTTTTCCCTCTCCCTTATTACCTTTCCCCCACCCTTCCCACTTTCCCTACACCTTTAGCCCTTTACTTCCTATTTCACATTATTAATTATCTCATTAGGATCCTGTGTACTGTGATAGTTTTTCACACCAAAGAAACTATTCGGTATTTCACTTAAAGAAATCTCTGTATGAACATTAAAAATAGGGAATCCTAAAATAAAACTAAAAAGGAAAGTAAAAGAGAAAAGGCAATGATGAAACATTAAAATAATGCTTAATTCTGGAGATGAAAATGGTCCCTGAACATATTTAAATTGCTTCTTGCTCTTATAGTCTTATCTTATTCTTTTTTTCATTATTTAGAGAATACTTTATTAGTTTCTGTAATCAAACCCATGTAGATATGACCTTACATGTTTAGTAGGATGTGTTACCCCTGTACACATGGAAAAAAAAATAAACATTTCTAGACCAATATGGCTGTCCATTTCTGTACAATGCCAAGTCAACACAGTAAATTGGGATGACTTTTTCCAAAGTTGGCATCACCGTTAAAGTTTCCCAAAATTCAATTTATATATATGTATATGTATATATATATATATATTTATATTTGTATAAAAAGACTTAATAATAATATGTTATACATCCATAGCAGCAACAGCTTTTCCAGGTTCTGCAGTCATCTGAACAAAATTATAGACATTCAGCACATTCCATTAAAAACAAAACAAAACAACAACAACAAAAAGAAAAGAATAATATCCAGAAAACAGCAAAGTTCTGTTGCTGTTGAGGTACCTGGGATCATTTTTTTTTATTAGCATCTTAATCATCATCTGGAAAGAGAACATTCTAGAGTAATATCATTAAATGTAGCTCTGATGAAGCACGGTCACTACTATGTATCATAAAGCAGGTACAAGATATTTTACATTCATAGAGGTATGATACAGTACCGTCCTACATCAATAATACTAGAATCAGTTTTGATTTGAAATTTACTTTGTCTGCAAATAAGACTGCTACCCCTGTTTTTTTCTGGGCTCCTGTCACATGGAGAATTGTTTTCTATCTTTTCACTTTCAGTCTATGGGCTTCTCTTTGCGCTATGTGTGTTTCTTGTATACAACCTATTGTTGGATTTTGCTTCTCATTCCATTTTGCCAGTCTATTTCTCTTGATTGGTGAGTTGAGGCCATTGACATTGCTGGTTATAACTGATATGTACTGACTTATTATTGACATGCTATTGGCCTTTTGTTGACTCTTTTTACTTTTTCATATAGTAATAGCCAGTGATGTTGAACATTTCTTTATGTATGTGTCCTTCTTCTGTGAAGAGTCTGTTCATTTCAGTTGCACTTTTTTGATTGGGTCTTTTATTTTGGGTGATCTAATTTTTTTGACTTTTTATATATTCTGGATATTAGTCCTATGTCCAAGGAATAGCTGGCAAAATTTTTTTTCCCCCATTCTGTAAGTTTTCTTTTCACACCATTGGTTGTGTCTTTTGCTGTGCAGAAGCTTTTTAATTTGATATGATTCAACTTGTTGATTCTTGGTACTATTTCCTGTGCAACTAGGGCTCTGTTCAGAAAGTCCTTACCTATGCCTATGACTTCAAGGTTTTTTACCTATTTTGTTTGTCAGCAGATGGGGTGTTTCTGTTTTAACATTTAGTTCTTTAGCTAGGCATGGTGTTGTATGTCTGTAATCCTAGTGCTTGGGAGGCTGAGGCAGGAGGATTGCTATGAATTGGAGGCTACCCTAGGCTACATAGTGAGTTCAGGACCAGCTTAAACTATATAGTGAGACCCTGCTTTAAAAAAATGTTTATTTTTAATCCATTTTGATTCTAGTGTAGTATATGGTGGGAGATATATGTCTAGATTCAGTCTTCTACCTGTGGCTAGCCAGTTTTTCCAACCCCATTTATTAAAGAGGTTGTCTTTCTTTCAGTGTATCTTGTTGCCCCTTTGTCAGAGATAAATAGCTGAATGTGACTGGGGCTGTTTCTGTATCCTCTCTTCTTTTTCACTTATCTGCAAGTCTTTTTATGCCAATGCCATGTCGCTACTATTACTTAGCTTTGCAATACAACTTTAGGTCTGGGATTATGAGGCCTCACTTTATGTCCTCGCTACCCAGGATTGCTTTTGCTGTTCTGGGTCTCTTTGGGTTTTATGTGAATTTTAGGATTTCTCCTGGCCTGTGAAGAATACTGTGGGTATTTTGTTTGAATCTATCTATCAATTTTGGAAATATGAAGGTTTTTACTATATTGGTTCTACCTATCTAGAAATAGAAGATATTTTTTCATTTTCGGGTGTCTTCTTCAATTTCCTTTTTCAGAGCTCTATAGTTTTCCTTGTAGAGCCCTTTCACTTCCTTTGTTAGGTTGTGTGCCCCCCCTTTTCTGTCCTTTCCTTTCCTTTTTTCTTTTTCCCTTTCCCTTCCCTTCCCTCCCCTCCCCTCCCCT